CGTTGAATTATTAGACTGCTGTTCAGCTTATCTGTCTATATGCTGAGCTGTTACAATGCCGGCCAGCTGAACAATCAGACCGTCAGCCAGCTTGTCTGTCTGTCTGTTGAAGTATTACACGGTCAGCAGCTGAACTATTAGACTATCGTCAAGCTTGTCTGTCTATCTGTTGAATCATTAGACCGTCGGCCAGCTTGTCTATCTGTTGAATCATTAGACTGTCGGTCAGCTTGTCTGTCTATCTATTGAATCACTAGACTGTCAGCTGGCTTGTCTGTCTGTTGAATAATTAGACTGTCGGCCAACTTTTCTATCTATCCTGAATTATTAGACTGCCGCCAGCTTGTCTGTCTGTTGCATCATTAGACTCCCAGCCAGCTTGTCTGTCTCTCTGTTGAATCATTAGATTCCCAACCAGCTTGTCTGTCTCTCTATTGAATCACTAGACTCCCAGCCAGCTTGTCTGTCTCTCTATTGAATTATTAGACTCCCAGAAAGCTTGTCTGTCTCTCTATTGAATCATTAGACTTCCAGCCAGCTTGGCTGTCTATCTGTTGCATATTAATCTGCCCGTCTAACAGCCTGCCTATACCCTAGCGTTTACCAGCTTACCTTTCCGTTTGTCTGTTTACTGGACTATCAGACAGCCGGGTATGTCTACTGGAGTGTAAGATCATTTTTTTTTGTAAAGGCCGACTGTTTTTCTGTCTATCTTGTTCTTCTTATTTTATTCGCTTGAAATAGATTATTTATATCTCCATTGTTATCTCGAGTAAGAACTTCACTGTCTGTTGTAATTCACCCAGAAACCTGTAAAGTTTGGCTTGAAGTTTTGCATTGATATGTTTTATTTGGGACAGCCTTGGAGGACTTGATCTGTTGTCTCAGTTGCCATTCCACATGTACACATGGCTGATTTGCCAATCTTAAATTGTGTGTACATTTGGCTGCCGAGTCTATTGTGTCTGTCTATCTGCTGGCCTCAGTAGGTTAACCTGTCTGTTTACTGGGGTACTAGACTGCAGACGGACATTTCCAGGAGCAAGCACTTTACTTGAGGTGCCCATCACCGTTCCAAAGTTTTCCATAAGTATTTTTTTTTTCTTTCTAATTTCAAACATGTAACTGGGACAGTATTTGAACTGACTTTTCTTTAGGACACAGAACAATAATTCTATCAATCTTTTACTTTTGTTCTGAGAAAGTGAAACATTTTGTACACTATTTAGGGATTGAAATGTTGTAGACATTTCCAGTATGTATTTAAGGTGCAGATTTTCCTAGCTGCATATTGGTTATGCCCCCGTTGTCTGTCTTATCTGTGGTAGATGTACCTTTGAGACATTCCTATAATCCATTAACATTATGGTTTTTAAAATAACGTGTTAATAATAGTGAATACAAACAACCTCTGGGGTGAATTTCATCTGGGTAGAAGATGTCAAGGTCTGCAACTACTATGATATACAGATATGTGAAACAGGACATGAATGATACAGGTATTGACTGGGATTCGTGGAAATAGGCTGCCGTGAACCATGTTGCATGGAGGGAGGAAATTAGTCAAGCTTTTACAATGACAGAAAAAGAGAAAAGAAAAATTACAACAGCTGAAATGAAATTCTGGCTTAGGGCTGTCAAAATAACAATGAGATACGATCAGAAATAATGAAATCTGGAGGAAAATGAGGGGTATCAGCAGCTCTGGATTCCATAAAAAGACAACAGGTGAAATGAATGGTCATGTAATGTGGATAACAGCAGACAGTGTACCACAGTAAGCCATGATGTACAGACCAGACAGAAAGTGAAGAAGAGGCTGACCATGCAAGCGATGGACAGATGGAATAACCGTCCCTGGAAAATTCAATTTATGAAGCACACAAACGGGCTCTTTCCTGTAAATTATACAACTTGCACATAATCAAAGGCTAACCTACATAAAATTAACACCTGTAAATTTAGGTGCCTGTGGAGAGCCACCAACTTTTCTGTATGAAGCACAGTGAGAAGTGATACTGTAAAACAGTTTGTGGGAACAAAACCATGCACCAGATTCAGTAAGAAGCAGAAGATAGATTGGGAACAACACCATGCACCAGATTCAGTAAGAAACAGAAGATAGATTGGTAACAACACCATGCACCAGATTCAGTAAGAAACAGAAGATAGATTGGGAACAACACCATGCACCAGATTCAGTAAGAAACAGAAGATAGATTGGGAACAACACTATGCACCAGATTCAGTAAGAAACAGAAGATAAATTGGGAACAACACCATGCACCAGATTCAGTAAGAAACAGAATATAGATTGGGAACAACACTATGCACCAGATTCAGTAAGAAACAGAAGATAAATTGGGAACAACACCATGCACCAGATTCAGTAAGAAGCAGAAGATAAATTGGGAACAACACCATGCACCAGATTCAGTAAGAAGCAGAAGATAGATTGGGAACAACACCATGCACCAGATTCAGTAAGAAACAGAAGATAGATTGGTAACAACACCATGCACCAGATTCAGTAAGAAACAGAAGATAGATTGGGAACAACACCATGCACCAGATTCAGTAAGAAGCAGAAGATAAATTGGGAACAACACCATGCACCAGATTCAGTAAGAAGCAGAAGATAGATTAGGAACAACACCATGCACCAGATTCAGTAAGAAGCAGAAGATAGATTGGGAACAACACCATGCACCAGGTTCAGTAAGAAACAGAAGATAGATTGGGAACAACACCATGCACCAGATTCAGTAAGAAACAGAAGATAGATTGGGAACAACACCATGCACCAGATTCAGTAAGAAACAGAAGATAAATGGTTTGATCATCTCATTAGAATGCAGCCACAACTACCAACCCAGGCAGTGCACGTGAAAAGATATGATTTGAAAACAAGAGGTCACCCTATGAGAAGATGGATTGATGACATTAAAGACCTTAACATCAACACAGAATGACGGCAGAAATTGCTACCCATCAAGCAATGGATTGCAAACTGTTTCTCCCCACTATACTTAATGTCAGGTCCATGATGGTCTGGAAAAACGGTGATGAAGGGTGCAGTTTCTGGAAAATGAGGCAGAAGCTGACCTTCATGAAGTTGGATAAAGGACATTGAAGATGCATTGGCTGTGAAAGCACACAGGGCTGGAGAATTGGCTAGAGGAAGAGAGACTGTTAGGTATGCTGTGAAGAGATAAAGGACATGTAGATTAATGATGATGATGTGACAAATAACAATTACATAATCAACATTGTGACACATATATCGGCAATATAAACAACATTGTGACACATATATAAGCAATATAATCAACACAATGGTGACACATATATCAGTAATATAATCAATATTGTGACAAATAACAGAGATATAATCAACACAATGGTGACACATTTGTCAGCAATATAATCAACATTGTGACAAATAACAGATATATAATCAACATTGTGACACATATATCAGCAATATAATCAACATTGTGACAAATATATCAGCAATATAATCAACATTGTGACAATAATCAGCAATATATCAACATTGTGACAAATATCAAGCAATATAATCATTGTGACACATAACAGCAATATAATCAACATTGTGACAAATATATCAGCAATATAAATCAACACATTGTGACAAATAACAGAGATATAATCAACATTGTGACATTGTGACATATAATAAACATAAGCATTATAATCAACATGGTGACAAATATATCATATATAAACATTGCAATATATCATCAACATTGTGACAAATAATCAACATTGAGATATAATCAACATTGTGACACATATATCAGCAATATAATCAACATTGTGACACATATATCAGCAATATAATCAACATTGTGACAAATATATCAGCAATATAATCAACATTATATCACAATATAATCAACATGGTGACACATATATCAGCAATATAATCAACATTGTGACAAAAAACAGAGATATAATCAACATTTGTGACACATATGTCAGCAATATAATCAACATTGTGTGACAGCAATATAATCAGCAATATATAATCAACATTGTGACAAATATATCAGCAATATAATCAACATTGTGACACATATATCAGCAATATATAAGCAACAATTGTGACAAATAACAGAGATATAATCAACATTGTGACACATATATAAGCAATATAATCAACATTGTGACAAATATATCAGCAATATAATCAACATTGTGACAAATAACAGAGATATAATCAACATTGTGACACATATATCAGCAATATAATCAACATTGTGACACATATATCAGCAATATAATCAACATTGTGACACATATATCAGCAATATAATCAACATTGTGACACATATATCAGCAATATAATCAACATGGTGACACATATATCAGCAATATAATCAACATTGTGACAAATAACAGAGATATAATCAACATTGTGACACATATGTCAGCAATATAATCAACATTGTGACACATATATCAGCAATATAATCAACATTGTGACAAATATATCAGCAATATAATCAACATTGTGACACATATATCAGCAATATAATCAACATTGTGACAAATAACAGAGATATAATCAACATTGTGACACATATATAAGCAATATAATCAACATTGTGACAAATATATCAGCAATATAATCAACATTGTGACAAATAACAGAGATATAATCAACATTGTGACACATATATCAGCAATATAATCAACATTGTGACACATATATCAGCAATATAATCAACATTGTGACACATATATCAGCAATATAATCAACATTGTGACACATATATCAGCAATATAATCAACATTGTGACACATATGCATTATAATTAACATTGTGACAAAAACTGTGATGCAATCAACATTACGCAAATAGTGGTGATATAATTAAAATTTTGACATACAACAGTGTGATAATTGTCTTGCTATTTTAAACAAAAATTTGTTTGTATCTTATGTACAGAGGCAGCACAGTACCACTCAGTGGGATGAGTGAGGCAGGTCCTCATATAAATGGCTCAGCCAGCCCAACTGGCAAATACATAGATCATATTGGTAAGTAACAACCTCATCATTTAATTATTACAGCTCTAAGTATTTTTTTTTCTTCTAAGGTGCAGAGAGAAATGTTTGTGTGTGTGTGTGTGCACATGCGTATGCATATATGTGTGCCTGTACGTATGTATGTACGTATGTATGTAGGTCTGTACAGGGATGATCATTCTGTGTGGTTTTCACAGAAACAGACCAAATCTGGGGTGACCCAGTTCCCATGAAGTTGGAAGTGCAACTAAAAAACACTTTAACTAACAGACAGTTTAACTAAAAAACAGTTTAACTAACATTTGAACAGTTATATTTCACTGATAGGCTGTAAACCGAGTCACAAACATGAAATCTGAAACATGTCAGAAATAAATCACCACAATAAAATATTACATCACTGGATTTTCCCTTTTGTATTTGAATTCTCCATGTGGGATCTGGGGCCTTTTCTTTTACCAGAAGCAAGCAAGCTATCTGGGGCCAGATTTTTGGGCTGAAATAGTATAGCCCTTCTGGCCCTTAAACAGGCATGTCATAAAAAGCGACTAATTAAGGATTTGGTAGAACTAGATGTATTGGGCTGAAAAGCACACATATCACAGCCTAGCTGTTAGCTACAGTCAACGTTCCAACCATATTTTGAGGGTCAACGGAGTTAAAGAAGTATTTGAATAATTCTAATGTTTCTATAAAATGTGCATTTGTCCTGTAGCACAGTATGGGTGTCCGTCATAGATTAGTTCACATTCTCTAAAGAGGAGATTCAAGGATGTTAAACTCAGTGTTAAGAAAAATATTCCAGTAACATGCATTAAGAAACAGTTGCGTTCTAAGAGATATACTTTTAGTATCGCTGAATAAGATGCTGCCTTGTGTCATCCTTGATAACCTTTGTGCCATTGAATGTCACATTCCCTGTGTGTGTTCCGGGGCCCTATTATAGGGAAAACAACAATAGACCCACTGCCTACGCAAAAGCATGTTGTAAGAGTCGACTAATTGGGAGCTTCCTTCAAAGTCGGAGTGCATCTGCCTGAGAGGCAAGGAACCAACAGTGTGCACACAAATAAGTTTAAATCTGTCAAACAGGTGCACACACAACACTCAGGTTCTGAAACAGGAAGTGGACGAACAACCAGAACTTTCTGCCGGAGTTTACAGCCGGGGAACCCAAAGAAGATGAAGAAGCATTTCACATAGGTCTCACAGTCTGTTCATCCATTCTGTTCTGCCACATAGGTCTCACAGTCTGTTCATCCATTCTGTTCTGTCACATAGGACTCACAGTCTGTTCATCCATTCTGTTCTGTCACATAGGTCTCACTGTCTGTTCATCCATTCTGTTCTGCCACATAGGACTCACAGTCTGTTCATCCATTCTGTTCTGTCACATAGGTCTCACAGTCTGTTCATCCATTCTGTTCTGCCACATAGGTCTCACAGTCTGTTCATCCATTCTGTTCTATCACATAGGTCTCACTGTCTGTTCATCCATTCTGTTCTGCCACATAGGTCTCACATTCTGTTCATCCATTCTGTTCTGTCACATAGGTCTCACAGTCTGTTCCTCCATTCTGTTCTGTCACATAGGTCTGTCTCACAGTCTGTTCATCCATTCTGTTCTGTCACATAGGTCTCACTGTCTGTTCATCCATTCTGTTCTGTCACATAGGTCTGTCTCACAGTCTGTTCATCCATTCTGTTCTGTCACATAGGTCTGTCTCACAGTCTGTTCATCCATTCTGTTCTGTCACATAGGTCTCACAGTCTGTTCATCCATTCTGTTCTGCCACATAGGTCTGTCTCACAGTCTGTTCATCCATTCTGTTCTGCCACATAGGTCTGTCTCACAGTCTGTTCATCCATTCTATTCTGTCACATAGGTCTCACAGTCTGTTCATCCATTCTGTTCTGTCACATAGGTCTCACAGTCTGTTCATCCATTCTGTTCTGTCACATAGGTCTGTCTCACAGTCTGTTCATCCATTCTATTCTGTCACATAGGTCTCACAGTCTGTTCATCCATTCTGTTCTGCCACATAGGTCTCACAGTCTGTTCATCCATTCTGTTCTGTCACATAGGTCTCACAGTCTGTTCATCCATTCTGTTCTGTCACATGGGTCTCACAGTCTGTTCATCCATTCTGTTCTGTCACATAGGTCTCACAGTCTGTTCCTCCATTCTGTCCTGTCACATAGATCTCACAGTCTGTTCATCCATTCTGTCCTGTCACATAGGTCTCACAGTCTGTTCATCCATTCTGTTCTGCCACATAGGTCTGTCTCACAGTCTGTTCATCCATTCTGTCCTGTCACATAGGTCTGTCTCACAGTCTGTTCATCCATTCTGTTCTGCCACATAGGTCTCACAGTCTGTTCATCCATTCTGTTCTGCCACATAGGTCTCACTGTCTGTTGGTCCATTCTGTTCTGCCACATAGGTCTGTCTCACAGTCTGTTCCTCCATTCTGTTCTGCCACATAGGTCTCACAGTCTGTTCATCCATTCTGTTCTGCCACATAGGTCTGTCTCACAGTCTGTTCCTCCATTCTGTTCTGCCACATAGGTCTCACTGTCTGTTGGTCCATTCTGTTCTGCCACATAGGTCTCACTGTCTGTTGGTCCATTCTGTTCTGTCACATAGGTCTCACTGTCTGTTGGTCCATTCTGTCCTGTCACATAGGTCTCACAGTCTGTTCCTCCATTCTGTCCTGTCACATAGGTCTCACAGTCTGTTCCTCCATTCTGTCCTGTCACATAGGTCTCACAGTCTGTTCCTCCATTCTGTCCTGTCACATAGGTCTCACAGTCTGTTCATCCATTCTGTTCTGTCACATAGGTCTCACTGTCTGTTGGTCCATTCTGTTCTGCCACATAGGTCTCACTGTCTGTTGGTCCATTCTGTTCTGCCACATAGGTCTCACTGTCTGTTGGTCCATTCTGTCCTGTCACATAGGTCTCACAGTCTGTTCCTCCATTCTGTCCTGTCACATAGGTCTCACAGTCTGTTCCTCCATTCTGTCCTGTCACATAGGTCTCACAGTCTGTTCCTCCATTCTGTCCTGTCACATAGGTCTCACAGTCTGTTCCTCCATTCTGTCCTGTCACATAGGTCTCACAGTCTGTTCCTCCATTCTGTCCTGTCACATAGGTCTCACAGTCTGTTCCTCCATTCTGTCCTGTCACATAGGTCTCACAGTCTGTTCCTCCATTCTGTCCTGTCACATAGGTCTCACAGTCTGTTCATCCATTCTGTCCTGTCACATAGGTCTCACAGTCTGCTCCTCCACTCTGTCCTGTCACATAGGTCTCACAGTCTGTTCCTCCATTCTGTCCTGTCACATAGGTCTCACAGTCTGTTCATCTATTCTGTTCTGTCCTGTGCAATAATTGTGATGTCATGGAAGGAATTCAGTCAAGTATCTTTTTCTTCTCTCATCAACATTAGTTTTATCATTTCTCTTTGAAGCTTTTGTTTTATCAATCCTTTTTTAACTGCCTGTTTAATGGTCTATAAGTTGTCACAAGCTACAGTTTTGTGGTCTATAAGTTGTCACAAGTTACAGTTTTGTGGTCTATAAGTTGTCACAAGTTACAGTTTTGTGGTCTATAAGTTGTCACAGTTTTTGTGGGTCTATAAGTTGTCACAAGTTACAGTTTTGTGGTCTATAAGTTGTCACAAGTTACAGTTTTGTGGTCTATAAGTTGTCACAAGTTACAGTTTTGTGGTCTATAAGTTGTCACAAGTTACAGTTTTGTGGTCTATAAGTTGTCACAAGTTACAGTTTTGTGGTCTATAAGTTGTCACAAGTTACAGTTTTGTGGTCTATAAGTTGTCACAAGTTACAGTTTTGTGGTCTATAAGTTGTCACAAGTTACAGTTTTGTGGTCTATAAGTTGTCACAAGTTACAGTTTTGTGGTCTATAAGTTGTCACAAGCTACAGTTTTGTGGTCTATAAGTTGTCACAAGTTACAGTTTTGTGGTCTATAAGTTGTCACAAGTTACAGTTTTGTGGTCTATAAGTTGTCACAAGTTACAGTTTTGTGGTCTATAAGTTGTCACAAGTTACAGTTTTGTGGTCTATAAGTTGTCACAAGCTACAGTTTTGTGGTCTATAAGTTGTCACAAGCTACAGTTTTGTGGTCTATAAGTTGTCACAAGCTACAGTTTTGTGGTCTATAAGTTGTCACAAGTTACAGTTTTGTGGTCTATAAGTTGTCACAAGTTACAGTTTTGTGGTCTATAAGTTGTCACAAGTTACAGTTTTGTGGTCTATAATTTGTCACAAGCTACAGTTTTGTGGTCTATAAGTTGTCACAAGTTACAGTTTTGTGGTCTATAATTTGTCACAAGTTACAGTTTTGCTGTCACATTTTACAGATCCAGATGACCCTGAGTACATAAAAAACTTGCAGCGGCCAGCCGAAGTGAAGGAGGATTTGCACCAGATGGAAAACAGATCACGAGTGAAAGTCATTCTCAACAGTCAGGCTTTTAAAGAAGAACTGGAGCAAGTGGTTGAAGAACAGCTCCGCACTGGCCCCTTTCCTGCTAGTCTACTGGCTCTGCAACAGATAACAGATTTACTGTTGCCACATGCGAAAGGTGGCTTGGGAAATTTGGCTAGAGGTGTGTGATTATTTCCTAAACTCATTTGTTGTCCTAATGCATATTCATTACAGCATGTGCCAAGTGTGGTAAAAAAAGAAAACCAAAGAAACGGCAACAAACGTCAGCAACCAGGTCACCAATTACCAAGCCAGTAGACGACTTCGTTGCCGGTCTGGACTGTATTTGGGTTTGTCTCCTTTGATCCCATCAACGCTGCAAGAGTTCTATTCAGGGCTACTTTGTGGCTAGTAATGCTCGGTCATTTGAAATGGCACATATAACCTATCCACAGTTATAACCTTAAGCTGGTTGAATAACCTAAAGCTGGTTGAATGTGACGATTTTAATTTCTTATTGCAAAGCAGGCCAAGCCAGACAGCAACACACAAACAATCCACACCAAAAAAAAAAAAATAACATCAGAAAAGAACTCTTTATATGCCAGTGGTACATTGGGCAGTTAATGATTACAATTGTTCTAGACTTATCGGCATTTGGTGAATGATGTGGTCAACATCATGTCGGTCACCTTTATTTTCTATGATACTATCCCGTGCCCATTTTAAGCTGGTCAATCTGGAAGCCAAGGCCAGTTTTGAAAGAAGAAGAAAAAAACAACAACAACCAACTCAATGCAGATTTAAACTCAAGACTTTGGGGCTGGCAGGCAAGAGTCTAGCCACCATGTCACTGTGTGTCCCCAGTCCTGGTATACATGGGTTTGACTGAACTTCTCGTGCTAGTGTGATGTTTGTTAATCTGTCAGCTCTCACTTTCTGCTCTTCTTCTGCTTTTTATTCTCAGCTGGATTGTTTGACGTCAACCAACTTATGAAAAGATAACCCACCGTACAAAAAGAAGTAAAACCAGTCAGCTTTACATTATCACAAACACAAACAAGAAACAAATGCTGTGGCCAAAGAGCCTTCATCAGCATAGTAAATGAATATACAATACCACACATGTGAACAAGAATATACAATATCACAAATACGGCAAGAATGCACAGAATCCAAGAAAAATCACATATGTGCCTGGCCAGTTGAATCTATGACACATGTTTGACCATAAATTCAAACCAAGCTGTCCAATCTGTTACTGTCTTTTGTGAAGGTGCTAGTTAATGAAAGTTTGTAGATAACTAATAACTGCTTTATTTGTTCTCATTGTTTTTAGCTCCATACAGATGCACTAGTTTGATGTTAGTTTTTTCTCTAGACTAAACTTTTATAAAACACATCATCACATTGCTGGTATCTGCTAAGAAGAAATGAATAAGTAGACTTAAGTATAATGGCTGCTTACCAAAGCAGTCACTACAAAGTTTTAAAAGTAAAGGACCATTTTCTACGCCTTCAGGCATGTTGGTCAGATAGGGCTAGAACTATATTTTATAGATCAATGGGCAGTTAGTGGGTGATATGGTCAACAGCAGCTTTTATGCCCCAGTACATTACCTAGTCTCCACTGTAGTCTGGGTCGACCTGGGAGCCTACGTCAGTTTTAAGAAAAAACTCGCCTCAATGTAGATTTGTCCCTAGCCCTTTGGGGTCACATTTTATCAATATAAAGGTAGTAGTATATTCTAGGCCATGGAATAATGAGCTAGAGTGGTCAGTTCCTTTCCATTTCTCTTTTCCTTCCTATCAAAAATGCGTTATCTATTTGTTTAGGATTGATTAGTACTTAATAATAAAAAGAATCATCGCCGAAGCTACAGAGTGAGTGCTCTGTGCTTGATACCATCTTCAGGTGGCAACGTAAAGAGTGGGAAGAGGAGATCATGTAAGATTATGTACTTGGAATGCTTACCATATCAAAGAATCAGCTGATGAAACTTGAACGCATATATAATGAACCCATGCGGGTAATTTTGGTATGTACATGAGATACACCGGTAGTATGTATGTGATAAATACTTGCACTGCCTACTATTGCAGTTAGGCTCAAAGTTTTGAAAGCAAAGTCTTATCTCCGAGTAGCTGCAGACAAGAAGCACCTTCTGCATGAAGCCCTGGGTAGAGCTAAGGGTCACAGATTGAAAAGAGGAAGGTCTTGGATGGCGCAAGCTGAAGATAAAAATGTTCTAATTACTTAAGGTGGTAAGTGTAGACATTGGCCAGCTGGTGCTGCAGAATTGGACGTTCAACAAATGATTAATGACAATTCCCGCCCAGGTGATGTGATTATTTATACAGATGGCTCTGTTTTGAGAGGCAGATGAAGTGCATGGGGGTTTATAGCAAAAGTGAATGGACGTCGCTTAGTGCAACAAACCTTGTATATGATATCACATTGTCTAGTTTGAGAATGGAGGTGGAGGCAGTCATTGCTGCCTTTCGCTGGTTTGAGAATCGGCTATACACACATGCCGTGATTGTAACTGACTCGCAGAGCATGTTGAGAAAGTTGGAGACAGGCATGATCCATGCAGAGTGACAAGCATCAATTCAAAGGTCCCAGGTAGTTAGCATCTTTTGGATATTTTCTCCGGGTCATGCTGGTGTGTTTGGAAATGAGCTGTCAGATAGACTGGCTGGCTCTGCACCACTTGGTGGTGAACTGATGTTTGACAAGCTAGATATTGTGATGGACTTTTGGAAGTGAGTGAACAGTGCTGAGGCACAGATAGATCATTATGGTCTGAGGAGAATGACGCTGCGAGGAGTTACCAGGGTATCTGGCCGACTCTCAACACTGAGGAGAAGGGCGAGATGGATATACAATCAGACAGTTACTGGTGCCATCAGAATTTGAATTTTTGGCTTGCTGCTGACATTGGGTAGAGAGCACTTATGGGAGTGTCCCGAGTACTGTAATGTCGATTCTTAATTCAACATTCAAGATTTAGGTTTGATTACCCAAGAGACTTCTTCTTGTAGTCTATGTCATGTGGTGTTAATAGTCTTGTCTATCCACAGCCTTCTGTCTCGTGTAGTTTCAGTCAGTTCTGACACAAATGATCTTCCATGCTATGATGTCAAACTGTCCGGCATCCTCTCTCTTGGTCTGCCTCTGCTGGGAAAAACAAACAACACCCTGATAACAGCTGATTGAAGATGTATTCTTCTTCTGCATTTACCCCACCTCTCCAATGGAGCAAAGACCCTCAACCAACTGACAACAAGTGGTTCTAACCTTTACTGTTGCATGCAGCTTACCCATGTCTTCCCCATCTTTCTAACTTCACTATCTAGCTCCCTTCACCATGTGTTTTTTGGTCTGCCTTTATTTCTGTGTCTATTCTCAGGTTTTCATCGTGTGTCCTTTGAAATGCTTCTTTCCCTGATCTCTTGGTTGATTGAAACTTGTTTAGTTCTGTCCCAAAGCTCAATGTTAGTGCTTCTGTCATACCCCGTCTATTCTGCACAGGCATTAATTAATGAATGTTTGTAGTTTGTTAATAACTGTTTTAGTTGTTCTTGATGTTTCCTCTCCATACTGCAGTACTGATTTGATGTTAGAATTGAAAATGTTAAGTTTAATAATTTGATTTCTGTTAACGATATTCCACTCCAAGATTTGGAGTCACACCTATTTAGGCAGTAATGTAAATAAAGATAGGGGAGCCAATGGAGATATTAAAATACAAATACAAAAGAGGAGCCTTGATAGCAAAAAAGAAATTTGTGGAGGTCAATTTTGCTTCTGTTATTCAGTATCTGTGGTTGAGGGGTTGAGAGCATGATTTATAATTCTGAGATACCTATTCGATTCCAACTGCAAGCGATTTCACTGCAGACTGCTTTGCTTTGATTTCGGAGAGCAGGCAGTTGATAAAGCATTGGCAAACTACTGAATACGGGTTAGTTTGCAACATCTCTGCAGGCATACTGTGACTAACCTGTTTCCTCTATTATTTACAGCTTCTGCTGTCATTCCAATCAATGACCTGAGGGGGGTTGAGGCACTAGGCTTTGCCAAAGGTGAAAAGCTCTTGAGATGTAAACTAGCTGCCTTGTATCGCCTTGTGGATCTATGCGGGTGGTCACATGGCATCCACAACCACATTACTGTAAGTTATTGTTTGTTGTTATTTAATTGTTTGATTTGGTTTGTTATGTTAACATTTTGTCTTTATTTTTTTGTCATAGAGGTCATTGTGTAAAACTCCCCATGCGAGTTCCAGGTCCCTATTCTGGGGAGGAAAAAAGAACAGACCGAGGACATCCCTAACTGGCATGTCATAAGAGTTGACTAATTAAGGTTTTCCCTCAAAGTCGAGAGTCCATTTGCAAGTAACCAATGGTCTGTATACAAATAAGCTAGTTCTGGAACAAGACTAAAGTCTAGAAATGGATGAGAAACCTTACTTTTCCACCCGCTGGTGAAGGTGAAGAAGAAGAAGAAGACTTCTGTAAAACCTCAATGCTGAATGTAATCCCTGGGGACAATAGAGGGAACTTGTGCTGAATTCAGAACTGACATCCCAGCACTTGGGACATTCCCATAAGTACTCAGTCTCCATCTTCAGCACCAGCACAGAGATCCAGCTCCTATGGTGCCAGTAGCGGTCTGACTGTGTGTCTTGCCTTTCCTCTGAATGTTGAGTGTCGGCCATTTGCCATGATCACTCCCAGCTATACCATTCTTTTCAGACAATGATGATCTGTTTTTTTCCTCTGCACTATTCATTCACTTAATACCATCTAGCTTGTATCACAGTTTACCAACAAGTGGTAGTACATCTTCAGAGAAAATACAGACACAAGAGACCTTAATTCTTTGCAAGGGATACAGGACCCATTAGGGAGGGGAGGGAAGAATGCACCAACTGCTCCCTAAGCAACATGTTTTTGGGAAGAGGGACAGAGGGGGTGGGACACTGGGTCTGTTGTTGACCAAGGCAACTAATTAAGGGGAGTTTCCTTCAGAGTCACAGTGCATCTGGCTGAAAGACAAAGAACTGACAGTCTGCAAACAGATAAGCCAGATCTTTAAAATGAATGTGCGCGCAAAACTCAAGTTCTGGAAAATGACCAAAGTCCAGAAGTGGAGAAGCAACCAGAACTTTCTGCAGGAGTTTGCAGCTGGTGAACGCTGTTAAGAAGAAGAAGAAGAAGAGACCCTAAAGTAGCTAACAATAAAAGCACGTTGAATGTGGTGAGAATTGTGGGGCTTTTTCTTTTTCCAGAAGAGTGGAATTAAAAAAACATTAAAAGTATATATTATTTATGTGGTCTTCTATTATCATGATTTATGTAGTATTTAGCTAAAATGTTGCTAGCAGTACAAAGTGAGGCACGCTTTCAGTCTCTGGGCATAGACAGTTTGTGCTTCAAGCATGGTGACTGTTACTTCTATCCTGGGTTATCATTGGTTTCGCTATCCCGGCATATCATTGATACCACTGTCCTGGTATATCATTGGTGCCACTGTCCCAGCAAATCTTTGGTACCACTGTCCCAGCATATCATTGGTACCACTGTCCCAGCATATCATTGGTATCACTGTCCCGGTATATCATTGGTATCACTGTCCTGGTGTATCATTGGTACCACTGTCCCAGCATATCATTGGTACCACTGTCCCAGTATATCATTGGTATCACTGTCCTGGTGTATCATTGGTACCACTGTCCCAGCATATCATTGGTACCACTGTCCCAGTATATCATTGGTATCACTGTCCTGGTGTATCATTGGTACCACTGTCCCAGTATGTTATTGGTACCGCTGTCCCAGGATATCATTGGTATCTTTGTCCTAATATATCATATATTTCCTATGACCACATCAAGTGTGAAATGCCAGAGCTCACAAGAGTGATGTATTTAAGGGAGCTGCAAAAAGGGAGGGGAGGAGGAGGGAGGGGGGCACTGAGAACAGCAACTATTTTAGTTTCATCTTCCACAGGATGTGTGTAGGCATTAGCTGCATGCAGCACTCCACCCAAAAGGTGAAAGGTCAAGTATCAAGGCTTCCAAACTGGCATATAGTAAATGGCAACCTGAAACAAGGAAAAGGCCAGGAAAGCTAGAAGAGTTTTGAACACATTCTTTAGAAAATTTGTGAATAAATGTGTTCTTCGTTTAGTTTTTTGACATTTTACCTTGGGTGCTTCATTGTTCTTGGTCATATTTATGATAACCTTTTATCAGAATATGTTATTTCTAATTATGTGTATTGACAGACATTGCATTATGTTACATTTAGACACCTCACCCCTCCCCACCTTTTTTTGGGTCCCTGTTTGGGCTTGAGGCCCTAGTCTGGGATGGCGAAAAGAACAGACCAACCATAGCCCTAAAAATTATGGCATACATTGCAATAAATTAAGGGTGTTTTCTTCAAAGTCAGAATGCATCTGCCTGAGAAGCTGGAAACCAACAGTCTGCATACAGATAAGCCAGAACTGTAAAATAGATGTGCATGCAAAACTCAAGTTCTGAAAACAAGGTCTGTCCAGAAGTAGATCAACAGCCAGGAATTTCTGCCTGGAGTTTACAACAGGCGAAACTAAAAAGAGAAGAGCACCCCTCCCCCCCTCCCACACAGCCAACATTTTATGGTGTCAGGATATTTGTGTGTATGCATGCTGTGACAACATAGCTTAGGGTAGGGTGTTTCTTGTATATGTTTAACTCAGCTATTGCCTGGTACTTATTATTTACCTTCATTTCTTGACCGTATATTGACGCTAATTACTTTACTCACAGAATACATTTTATCCTCACCGTTTCTTAGTGCTCATTGTTTGTTTTTTTCATCCCCAGAGTAAACTCTTTTCCCCACTGTTTCTTAGTGCTCTTTATTTTACCCAGAGAAGAAACTTTTCCCCACTGTTTCTTAGTGCTCTTTATTTTACCCAGAGAAGAAACTTTTCCCCACTGTTTCTTAGTGCTCTTTATTTTACCCAGAGAAGAAACTTTTCCCCACTGTTTCTTAGTGCTCTTTATTTTACCCAGAGAAGAAACTTTTCCCCACTGTTTCTTAGTGCTCTTTATTTTACCCAGAGAAGAAACTTTTCCCCACTGTTTCTTAGTGCTCTTTATTTTACCCAGAGAAGAAACTTTTCCCCACTGTTTCTTAGTGCTCTTTATTTTACCCATTAAGAAACTTTTCCCCACTGTTTCTTAGTGCTCTTTATTTTACCCAGAGAAGAAACTTTTCCCCACTGTTTCTTAGTGCTCTTTATTTTACCCAGAGAAGAAACTTTTCCCCACTGTTCTTAGTGCTCTTTATTTTACCCAGAGAAGAAACTTTTCCCCACTGTTTCTTAGTGCTCTTTATTTTACCCAGAGAAGAAACTTTTCCCCACTGTTTCTTAGTGCTCTTTATTTTACCCAGAGAAGAAACTTTTCCCCACTGTTTCTTAGTGCTCTTTATTTTACCCAGAGAAGAAACTTTTCCCCACTGTTTCTTAGTGCTCTTTATTTTACCCAGAGAAGAAACTTTTCCCCACTGTTTCTTAGTGCTCTTATTTTTACCCAGAGAAGAAACTTTTCCCCACTGTTTTCTTAGTGCTCTTTATTTTACCCAGAGAAGAAACTTTTCCCCACTGTTTCTTAGTGCTCTTTATTTTACCCAGAGAAGAAACTTTTCCCCACTGTTTCTTAGTGCTCTTTATTTTACCCAGAGAAGAAACTTTTCCCCACTGTTTCTTAGTGCTCTTTATTTTACCCAGAGAAGAAACTTTTCCCCACTGTTTCTTAGTGCTCTTTATTTTATCCAGAGAAGAAACTTTTCCCCACTGTTTCTTAGTGCTCTTTATTTTATCCAGAGAAGAAACTTTTCCCCACTGTTTCTTGTGCTAAATTTTTTATCCCTAGAGCACACTCTTTTCCCCATTGTTTGTTGGTGCTCATTATTTTATTCAGAGAAAAAACTTTTCCCCAATGTTTCTTGTGCTATTTTTTGTTTCATCTGCAGAGGGAACTCTTTTCCCTCCTGTTTCTTGGTGCTAAATATTTTACTAGCAGAATCAATTTTTCCCCTAATGTTTTTTGTGCTGTTTTTTTTTTTTTTTAATCCACAGAGTAAACTCTTTTCCTCAGTGTTTCTTGGTGCTTATTAGTTTACACACAGAGTAGACTTTCCCTCACTATTTCTCGGTGCGGATTTTTTTAAAACCAGAGAGTAAACTCTTTTCCTCACTGTTTCTTGGTGTTTATTAGTTTACCCACAGAGTAGTCTTTCCCTCACTATTTCTCTGTGCGGATTTTTTAAAAATCAGAGAGTAAACTCTTTTCCCAACTGTTTATTGATGCTGCTTATTTCACACACAGAGTAAACTCTCTTGGCCACTGTTTCTTGGTGCTCATTATTTTCACCCGCCAAGTAATCCCAAGACCTCCTTGATAAATAATGAACTGTGAATTATCAGACCAGATGGCTTTGTAGTAATTACTTGTGCCTGTGATAAGTGAATCCAGGAGGCCAAGAGAGAGGTCAGACAAGCAGGAGAAATCAAAAGGCATTCTTATCTCTGTTAGAGGAATGCAGGCTGGGAAATTGGGACAATTCTGGGTTATTTGCCACCATTGTGTGCCGCTCGTTAGTGGTATTATCATCATTAACTGCTTAACAGGGGAATAACAGAGCATACATTTTTATTAGATAAATAAAGATCGACATTCTTGAAATTCTAGTGGAATGATAAATCATATTTGTTGCCTCCTTGTTTTTGTGTGTTTGGGGGTGGAGAGAGAGAGAGGGAGGGGGGGGGAGAGTATATACCGTATTTTTCAATGCATACAACAATATGTTTTCCCAGCCTGTTCTTATGTTTAAAGTTGGTGGTTGTCTTAAACACAGAATATGTTTCAGATATGTATTCTTATTTTTTGGCTAAACAAATAGAGGTCGTCTCATACAGGAGTGGGTCTTTTGCACGTAAAAATATGGTATGTTTCTCACACATACAGTATAACATTCAGGAGCGTGAGCAGCGTTGATTCAGAAAGTTTTTATCATCAATACCTGTAAATAAAATGTATTTACTTTTGTTTATTTGTTCTCTGCAGGTTCGAGTCAGTTCTGAAAATGAACATTTTCTCTTGAACCCTTTTGGATTGACTTATTCTGAAATAACAGCGTCTTCCCTTATTAAAGTTGATGTGAAGGGTGATGTTCTAGACCCAGGATCCACTTATCTCGGCCCTTATAGACCGGGTTTCTTGGTTCATGCAGCCATCCATCAAGCTAGACCAGACATAAAGTGTATAGTTCATTTACACACACCAGCTGCTGTTGCAGTAAGGATTGATGTTGTTGTTGTCATGACATTCGTCATCATCATATCCATCGTTGTCATTATTGCTACCATTTGTATCATCTCCTTACATGTGAATGCCATGATACTGACTGCCTCAGAGAGCCACACTGAAGAATTGTAATGAACTGACCACAGAGTGAAGGGAAGACCATGCAGATATGGAATGACAGCATCATAAACGCCCTTAAAGAAATTAGTCTACTTATTTTATGTTATCACAATCAATGTCACTGCACATTGGGCATTCCCATGCATGCTCAGCCCTCCAATGCAGCAGCCACTCCAAAGTACTTCTACCAATCGTTCCCATGAGAAGCTGGTTATATTGTCTCCAATCTCGGCCTTGAAGACAGCATAGACATGCTTCACCATGCTTTACTCCCATGTCACGCAATCGTGTTAGTGTCAGGGTTTCCTCATTACCCACTAGCCCAGTCCCTACAGCGTTGGCGATATCTGCTCTGTCCATGCTGCTTCCCACATGCCTTAGTGCAGTGCTTGCCAGTTGGTCCGCTCGCTCATTTCCCTTTACGCCTGCATCACCCGGTCTGTAGATCCAGGTGACGGAGATAGATGACCTTTGGCGTTAAAGTCACCACATATGATGATGTCGGTGGTTACCTGCTCGCACATATCACTTAAATTTGTCTACTTTTCTTTGTCGACTTTATCATTACAGGCATAGATGTTACTTAGCGTGAAAGGTTTACTTCCGTCTACCTTCACAGCCTGCACCTGAATTTTGCTGTTGTTCCATGCACTTGTGTCTACAACTGAGGATGCTGTTCCGCACCTGACCCGGATTGCTTGGCCTAGGTGTTTGCTGTTGTAGTATGTTTTGAAGCCTGAGACTTTTAGAGCTTCCTCCTTATTCACCCCGGTCTCCTGAAGTGCGATTACATGAGCATAATATATCAGTTTCTCCAAGATAGGGCCTCTCTGTCGAACGCTCCTGCAGTTCCAGCATAGAATGTGGCGATTGCCCTTGCTAAGACGTCCTGATTTAGGTTGGTTTTTGGGTGCACCAGCATGTCTATTGCGTCGTCATCTACCATATTGTCCTCTCCTCCTTTTGTACCTTGTAGATGCTGCTGCATCAGATCTAAGCACAGACGCGCGAACTCCGTAGCTCTGGCAAGTATCGAGTTCATAAAATGTGTCTACCATATTTAATTAAGACAGTAGTGAGGGCTTATTAATGGTCACCCCAATGGTGCCCTCGAGCTGGAGAAGGGGCCACGGACCTAACGCCCATCAGCAAGGTGTCCCCCTTGTACAGCCTGACTGCCCTCATTAACGATTGTGCACCCCTCAACCATGCAGTTCTTTAGCACAAAGGAGACACTTTAAACTTGGGTTCTGGACTAACGACTCTCTACTTGTCTACTTATACAACACATTAGGAAGAGCACATAGAATAACTTTACACTTCTGTCTGGAACTTCAGTGGGTCAGTTCCTTTCAAGACATCTTTATTACTTTTTTTTACAAGTCCAGGGTATTCCCATCATTCCTGTATAAAACCACCTCTCAACAACTTCCAAATAAATTTTCACTAATAAATAGATTATATTGCAAATATTTTAGTATTCCATAAAAGAATTCTGGCGTTAAAAGTGTCGTTACTTTGTTAAATTTATTGACGTTATTTGCTTGGTAAAATTAACATTATTTCACCAACAGATATCTGCATTAAAATGTGGACTTCTACCCATGAGCCAAGAGGCTTTAATATGTGGCAACATTAGTTATCACGATTTCCAGGGTGTCACAGTTACTGAGGAGGAACGAGAAAAGCTGGCTAGAAACTTAGGTGTTCGTAATAAAGTAAGTGCACATTACATTTGTTGTCCACCTTTTTGTTTACCTTCAAGTTTTACTTTAACCCATCTTCATGTGAGTCACATTTGGAAGGGAAGAAAGATCTCTTTTTTTTTCTCCTAACAAGCATGTGATCAAAAGTGATTAATGAAGGTATTGTTGAAATCGGATGTGTTTGGTTGAAAGATGCAGATTTCACACAACCTAGCTGGAAATCACACAACAGTGGGCCAATAGCCCTTTTTAAGGCAACTGCAGAAAAAAAATGATTTACATGTAATATCCTTACGTCCTTTTTAGGACGTAATTTTTTGTTATTTGAAGCCCCATTCTGGCTTTTGCCAGGGGCCGCAATATAGACAGGCCATAAATAAGGACAATTGTCTAAACGCGGTTTCCGGGACCTCTCCACGGCGATCCTCATCCACATGGTGGCACTTTGTGTCATCGGGTGTTTATCGCTTGTGTGATGTCCTGGTGGGGTAGAAAGTCAGTCAGTCAAAAAATGATTTTAACTCATTGATCATGTCTTTTGTATGGATGCAAGTTTAGCAGAATGAGTCATGAAATTGGAAGGCAGAAAAGTGGGGGAGGGGGGGAGAGCTTGAGCCTGAGAGATGTGAGTTTTGAGAAGAATGTTGAGAACATTGTAGGCAGCAAAGAAAACTAATGCTGACATTTAAAAAAATGTGAAAGTGGAGTGGGTTGTTATTATAGCACGTTTGATTCCTTAGGCTTTGGCATTTTCCCAGCATCCTTTGCTACATGCCAAGCACAAAATCAATAGTTCCATATGTGGCTTCCACAGATCTAACAGTTTTACCTAAAACAAGAACGACACAAAATCTTTGAATGAACGCACAACTTTATAGGAGAGGCAACCGGCTTGACCGCTATACAGTCTATATCAGTCAAACAATTAAGTGCCATCTCCATAATGACGGTTGGCTGCCGTGGATCTCCAACACACTCAGTCTCTTGTTTTGTTGGTACACTCTCTGAGACTGCTCTTCATCCATCACTTCATTTTGTCCTCCCACTTATATCATTGTTTGCTTATTGCTCACTTATCTTTGACTTTTCTCTTTTACTACAAGTGAATATCAATAGATGAGAGAAAATAGAGAACTCAGTCTTCTGTACAAAAATAATAAGCAAGAGAGGCAGAAAAATTCAGAAAGTAATGAATAAGGAAAGCTTAAGTAGCTGGGCAACAGAATAATCATCACTCATGTCTGGTCCAATTCAAAAGAAGAGGAAGCAGAAATATGATGTCATGTTTTAAATCTGGAACACAATTATTTGTGCCCATAGCTATAGTTAAAAATCTGGGAACAACATTCACTAAAGATAGTAAATTGTATGAAGAAATTAACATCTGATGCAGTAAAGCAAACCAAGTATTGGGACAGCTGGCAAAGAATGATCTAATACAAAGCATATTCATTCCCATCCTGTGCTGTCAGTGCCAGGCATGGTTACTCACAACAGATTAGAAAAGAAATGTAGTAACAATGCAGATGAGATGTCTGAGAAGAAGTAAAATCAGGAAGGAGGTCATAAGAGAAAAGGTCATCACAGAACCAGTTCTGAATTACATAGAAAGACGGCAAATCAAATAGTTTGCCTACTTGGAGAGGATGCCATGTGACGTCATATCACACAAGGCATACACTTTTAAAAAAAGGGGGAGTGGCTGCGTGGTCTTGAGGCGTGGTGTCTGCCTCGAGTGCTAGAGGTTCCGATTTCAATCCCCGGTGAGGGCTGGGATTTTTTAACATGGACTTGGGCTTCTGATAATTCCCCCTGGTCTCTGGGTAGTGAGAAAGAATGCATTGTTGCGTACGTAAAAAATTCCTTGGCAGTTGGAAATCGAAAAGAGTAGCCTAATGGCGCTGCCTGGGCAAAATTTGAGGTTAAAAATCTACCCAAAATATTTCAGGATCCTTGCCGGTGCTACGGAGCCTGTGCACTGTGCTGCATTTCTTCAGGCTCAGACTTGAGTTAGAAGAAGAATGGAGCATTTATGGGTTATACCCTTTTCCATGATGTTGATCCGTTGTTTAAAACCTCAAACCTCAAACTTAAAAAAAAAAAAAAAAAGGACAAGAACGTAGATGACTAGGTAGACCAAGAATAAGAGGAAAAGATAACATAAGGAAAACTGTGCATTAACACGACATGTCTATCGTGATTGTAATTGACTCAGAAAGCATGCTGAGGAAGATGAGGACAGGCCTGCTTCGTGCAGAGTGGCATGCTTCGTTGCGGAGGACACGGGTGAGGAGTATTGTCTGGATTTTTTTACTGGGGTACACCAGTATGTTGGGAAATGAACAGCTGGACAGACTGGCTTTCTCTGCACAACTTGGTGGAATAATGATACATGATAAGGCAGACATGGTTAGTGCCTTGTGGGACAGCGTGTACAGTTTGGAGCAGATGCATCACCACAGTCTGGTGAGATTGATGCAGGGGGAAATGACGAGAGGTTCTGGCAGATGCTCGAGGCTCAGAGGAAAGGCAAGACGGACATTTAATCAGAATGCTTTTGGCACCATCAGTTTTGGAACTCTTCGCTGGCTGCTGAAGATGGGGACGGAGCACTTATGGGAATGCCCCGAGTGCTGTGATGTCGGTTCTTGAATCAAATCAAATCAAATCTATTGTTGAAGCAGCCAGAAGAGCATGAAGCAGAACCTTATATCTCCCTAGACACCCAAAGCAGTAACTCAGGAAGAGAAAAAAAAGAGAAGAAGACCGTTTACATTTCTTACCATATATCCTTTTCAGATTTTATATAAAAAATGTACAATTCCCACATTCCAAGCCTGAGTTAACACCACTGTCAAAGCCTAAACTTGCAGACATGGAACCTACACCACTAACCACTGTACAACAGTTTCATGGACAGCATGTGAGATCATCTAGAGATCTTTCCAATTCACCATGCCAGTGATTTTCAGTTAGTTTACTAAAATGGTTTCCTTTCCTGTGAGTTTATGGTTTTCTTTCCTGTTAACTCTGGTTTTCCTTTCCTGTGAGTTTCTGGTTTTCCTTTCCTGTTAGCTCTGGTTTTCCTTTCCTGTGAGTTTCTGGTTTTCCTTTCCTGTGAGTTTGTGTAGCAAAGTTATTTTACAAGGTGGAGAAGTTGGCCCCATGTCCTTTCTAATCCTGGCTTGGGACCAGTAAAGACTGAAAACCCAGCAGCAGAGAATACCAGACAGGTACCTCAATATGAAACAAATGGACTGAAGAAATGAGGATGTCAAAAAGAATTTCTATGATGGATATTGATCAGAGAATGAAAGAATGAAGAAACTTTATTTCCAAAGTGTTGAGAATTGGGCATGCAGGTCTGTCTAACATCCTACTCTTCTGATCTTCCTCCTTTCATACATCTGTAAACATGTAATAGTAGACATTATCGAGAGCAGCTAAATATTAAATAAAAGCACAGGAATGTGTACAAATTACACCTACAGACCCACATGTGGATTCCAGGTCCCCATTATGGGAAAAATGTTATGTATTTTCAACCTTACTGTATGGCACAGAGACATGGACAATAAACAGACAACTGGAAAATCGTATCAATTCTTTGGAGATGTGGATATACAGAAGATTAGGCCGTATTTCATGGAAACAAAAGCTATCAAATACAGAGGTACTGAGGAAATTGGGAATGAAAAGAGAGTTGCTAGGTGAAATAAAAAAGAGACAAGTGAAATATTTTGGTCACATTAAAAGACATAACAGTATTGTAAAGATCATCCTAGAGGGAAAGGTTCAAGGTAGGCGGGCAAGAGGCAGACAGTGTTACAAGTGGGAGGATAACATCACGAGATGGACGAACAGCAGTATGAGCGAGTGTACATCAAGGGCAAGAGACAGGGCTTGTTGGAGATCCATTGCAGCCAACCTTCATTGTGGAGACGGCACCTGATTGATTGATTATGGGAAAAACAAGAATAGACCCACTGCCTCCCCAACAAGCATGTCAAAAGTGTCGACTAACAGGGTGCTTCCTTTGAAGTCAGAGTACATCAGCCTGAGAGGCAAGGAACCAATAATCTGCATACAAATAAGTAAGATCTGTAAAACAGATGCTCACGCAAAACTCAGACTCTGGAATAAAGCCAAAGTCCAAAAATGGACGAACAACCAGGTCTTTCCACCGGAGTTTATAACTGGTTAACGCAAACAACAACACCTACAGAGAAGTCAAAGGTGTTGGACCGGATACTATCCATAATATCAAAAAGGATTGCATAGGACAGAACTGAATGGAGGAAAAGGCTGTGAGCCCTATGTGACATATAATGGCATAAAACAGGATAATGATAATAATTTTCAGTATGATTAGTTGTCCACGGGTGTTGTTTGCTTCGTGACCAAGATATTCCTTAACTTGTCACATGTCGCTCATGAAACAGGTGTTGATACTTTGTAACCAAGATATTTGTTGACTTATGTCATATGTCATTCATAAAACAGATGTTGATGCTTTGTAACCAAGATATTCGTTAACTTATATCACATGTCATTCATGAAACAGGTATTGATGCTTCGTAACCAAGATATTCCTTAACTTATATCACATGTCATTTATGAAACAGGTATTGATGCTTCACAACCAAGATATTCCTTAACTTATGCCACATGTCATTCATGAAACAGGTGTTAATGCTTTGCAACCTAGACATTCCTTAACTTATGCCACATGTCATTCATGAAACAGGTATTGATGCTTCGTGACCAAGATATTCCTTAACTTATGCCACATGTCATTCATGAAACAGGTGTCGATGATTCGCAACCAAGATATTTCTTAACTTATATCACATGTCATTCATGAAACAGGTGTCGATGCTTCGCAACCAAGATATTCCTTAACTTATGCCACATGTCATTCATGAAACAGGTGTTGATGCTTTATAACCAGGAATTCTGTAACTAATATGACACATGTTTTTCCTTGAAACAGGTTTTGGTGTCTTCGTAACCGAGGTATACTGGCTTGTGGGGAGACTATTGAAGAAGCCTTTCATTATACTTTTAATGTGATGTCAGCTTGTGAAACACAGGTAAGTTATCTTTATGGTATAAGAAATCTGTCATACAGTAAAGCCATTGATAGATTATGCCTGCCATGTCAGCTTGTGAAACACAGGTAAACTATCTTTATGTTATAAGAAATGTATCATACATTCAAGCCATTGATAGATTATGCCTGCCACATCAGCAGATATTCTGTGAAAACCACCATGAAGTTTATTTGAACATGTAGGGGAAGTTACTCTGACAGGAATACACTGGTACCAACTGCCTCAGAGAACCATGCTGAAGAAATATTGTGAACAGAAGGGCAAGCAGACCACACACATTCAGGATTTGACTGTATCGAGAACAGCTTTACAGAAATGAGAATCAACTAATACATGCACTGGAAAAAGCACAGAAACAATCCTTACATCTTTCCCTGGAACCTCAGTGAGGTGAAGGTAGATAACAAGAATGTCTAGGTTTGTAGATGCTTATAATCTTGCTCTTTGGCAAAGAATATGGTGGTTTTAATTAAATTTGTGCACAATTGCAGCTTTATTTAATTTCAATGTCTTGTTGGGCCATTAGATGTATGCTCATTCCCCAGAAGTCATCAGTTACCTTTGTCCGTCTTTGTGCTGGTCGCGCCTCCTCTTCTTCTGCTTTTTCATTAATTTGTTTTATTTCTAAATCACTGTAATGTTTCTACTTCTGTGTTTGCCCTTACAAGGGCTGTTGGGACATTGTGTTGTGGTTTACAGCTGGGCTGCAATAGGCCTAATTACTGAGTTGAGTGCCTAGCATGAACAGTGTGTGTGGATTTCATTTGGAATGCTTTTCTACTATGCCCATATTTTTTTTAAACTGCAGATTTAAACATTGACATGTTACTTGTTGTCGCAGAACTGGTGGTGTCTTATGCAGCAATTGGGTGTACAACTACTGATTTGTTGTAACTGATGCTTCTAAGTTGAGTTGAGTTAAGTCAAGAATTGACATCACAGCACACAGGGCATTCCCATGTGTGCTCTGTCCTCATCTTCGGCAGCCAGCGCAGAGTTCCAGTCCTGATGGTACCGGTCACAATCTGATTATATGCCCGTCTTGTCTTTGCCCTGAGTGTAGTGAGCTGGCCAGACCCACTGGTTACACCCAGGTGCCTCATTCTCTCCAGGCCAAAATAATCTTGTTTCTCTACTGATTCTGTTGTTTGTTCCCAAAGGGCCTTGACCACATCTGCCTTCTCATGTATAAATTCATCACCCAGTGATGCGCATCCAGCCAATCTGTCCGCCTGTTCATTACCGAACTATTTGTGTTGGCACTTCTCATGGCTACGTTATGCATTTGGTTGGTGTGTGCTATTGGCTTTGCTGAGTCTGTGATCTGTATCAGTTGTTTTACCAGAGACAACGATGGGCATTCGGTTTGGTTTTCAATTTTCACAGGAATTGAGCAAGTATAGGGTAACCCGTTTGCTGTGAAGTTGCAGCTGAGATGCCCTGATTGCTGTTTCAGCACGGAGTGAGCGGAGGATCTGGATAATACATATAGGTGAAAGTACAAGTAGACTTTCAGGTACCATTGGAACCATCAACATAGGAATTGTTCATTGGCTTCTTCACAAGTGGATGGAGGAATGTGTGAATTTTCTGAGGGCAGTAATGAAAACTGATGATTCGTAATTAATTGTTGTTATTTTAAGTAATTAATAGGGATCTTAATAATGTCTTTCAAGATTTTATTATTAAAGTCTGTTGTTTTTAAAGAATATTTATGTCTTTGAAGATATTAGTTTTAAAATCTTTTGTTTCTAAATCATATTTTTTCTTTATATTACAATCTCAGAATGCAGTATTTGATTCCTTTTGAAATAGTAGGATAATAATGGAGAATTACTCAAGTACAGCTCTTCACATAATTGAATGCAACTGAATGTATCTGTTGTAGGTTCGAGCCATACCCTTAGGTCTAGACAACATTGTGATCCCTAGCGAGGAAACACGGCAGCAGTGTCACAGAGTGGCTGGCCAGGGAGGGGGAGGTGTGGATTCCAAAGAGCGTAAATGGAAAACAGGCGAACTGGAGTTTGAGGCTCTGATGAGGACATTAGATAACTCCGTAAGTCCAGGTTCTGTGTATTTATGTTTTCAACCCTTTCAGCCCCAGATGGTTTCAAAGTAGAAACCTAATTTGGCACAATAATCACAGGGACAAGGCCATAAGCTTATGACTTTCAAAGATACATCATACACTGTGCTTCATTTGACAGTATTTGGCCAGATTTCTTTTGCATACCCAGACCAAAGAGGAAATAAATAATAACACACCATCTGTGATACTGATACACATAGACATAAGCTAAGCAAACTTGGTGTGTTGCTTGAAACAGAGTTAAGTATGTATAATATCATTTTGTAGAATTCGATCATAGTTCACAGATATAAATCTTTTGTCAGAATTTTGTATTTTTTAGAAGTGATTATGATTATAGCTGTTCCCAAATACCATCATCATCATCAGGTGCCTTGCCGACTGGCGTGGACGATCATGCCTCTCCATAATCTGTGATCTCCTGCAGCATGTATTAGTTCGTGTGCCGACACACCTCCATGCCTTGCAACAAGACTGTCAAGCATCTTCTGTCGTTGTCTTTCTCTATCCCACCTTCCACAGATCTTTCCAGTGGTCACAACATGTTCCATTTTCCATCTTCTCATAACATGGCTGAAACATGATGACTGTCTCCTTCTGATGTCTGTGATAAGTTGTCTTTGGGCTCCCGCCTATTTCAAAACCTCTTGGCTGCTATTTTTGGCTGTCCAGGGTATTTTAAGCATTGTTCTGTAAAACCACATCTCTGAGGCCTCAAAAAATTTGTTTGGCCTGCCTACCGATTGTCCAGGACTTCACATCCATATGTTAAAACTGGATGTATGTAGCAATCACAAATTCAGTTTCTAACCTTCAATGCCAAAGATATATTGCATAAGATGTTCTCCATTTTGTAAAATGCAGTTTTTTTTTGGCCTTTCCTATTCTGTTTCTTATCTCAGTAATCCATCTGATGTTATCCATGTGCCCAGATACTTAAATAACTTAAATACCATACCACGTACAAAAGCTCACTGAGCTAGGATGATCATAAATGTCCTAAGGTTCTACAATCTTCTTTCATACAAAATTCAGCACAGTTGCATGAACTTTATAAGTACTGGCATGGGTCAGGATATGTGTGTGTACAAAATCACAGCTTTAAATACTCTTTTGGGGGGATCTTAATTTTGAAGTATTAGCCTCGGCGCTTTTCGGCCCCCTCTTTTAAGTTTTATCAATTTCTAAGCATACAGCAAATGTTGTTTGTTCAGCTTATCAGGAAAGTCTAGACATCCAATCCACTACTAGAATGTCAGGACAGAGGTAGCATCCACTTTCTTGTATTGTCAAAAATCCATACAGTGCATATAACAAATGAAATGGTTTGGACACATGTCAAGACTGGTACACCACAGAAGCCTCAGCGAAGATCTGCAGCAATTTTTAAACTAATTGCTGCAGATCTTCGCTGAGGCTTCTGTGGTGTACCAGTCTTGACATGTGTCCAAACCATTTCATCTAGTAGTGTTATTCCCCATTTTGTCTGGTTTAAAAAGTCATGATTATCACCGTTATCATCGTCGTCATTATCACCATCATCATCATCACCATCACAATCATCATTGTCTTCACCATCATTTTCACCATCATTATCATCATCATCATCATCACCATCATCAACCCTGCCAAAGAGCATACCGGTCATGGTTTGCTACCCCACATGATTACCAGAATCACTGATCAGATCAGTGCCCATCTACATGGCCAAACCATCCAGGTATTTGTTGCTTTGGTTTTCCTCTGTTCTTTATCCCATCAGTCTTGCCAGTTGTCAGTAGATTCTCAAGTATATTTTTATTTAAAAAGTTATTTCTTCATTTTCCCGTTGTTTTTCTGTCTTAAAAACATCATATTATAATCTTTGATGTTTCAGTGAGTATAAATTTGGTATGGTTGTTTTGACCTGCACAATTTTTTTTCTCAATTCATTTATATTAGTTTTTTTTCTTCTTCATAATATAGAATGATACAAAAGCGTAGGTAGAAGTCCAAATCATCAGTGCATACTATACTGCACAAATAAAATGTTGGTTTGTTATTGGCTGTCTTAAAACCAATGGTTAAACAGTAGAGACTGTTTGTTGTCCAGGTTTCTGGGCCATATAATTGGGGGAAGTATACATTGCCACTGGTCATTCTTATTTTTAATTTGTTTTTCTGCATGTCGTTGAAACTGTTTCTAGTTAATTCTATTCTTCTATTTTATTTATATTTTACTTCTGCCATTTTATGTGCACTGAGCATGTTACATGAGTTTGTACATATTGACTTGCTTCACACACACCATAGTTGTCTGCTTCTCAGTGTGGTCTAGTTCTGGCCCACACCAACATAGATCATTGTCACTCGAGGCCACACTCTCAAAAGATGCTCCAGTATCTTTTTTTTTCTGATTATAAAAATCTCTCTTTCTCTCCCTCTCTCTCTCTCCCCCCTCTCTCTTTCTCTCTCTCTCTCCCTCTCTCTCTTCCCCGATCTTCCCCACAACCCCCCCCCTGCTCTCTCTCCCCCTCTCTCTATCCCCCCTCTCTCTTTCTCTCTCTCTCCCCCCTCTCTCTCTCCCCCCTCTCTCTTTCTCTCTCTCTCTCTCCCTCTCTCTCTCCCCCCTGCTCTCTCTCCCCCCCTCTCTTTACCCCCCCTCTCTCTTTCTCTCTCGCTCTCCCTCTCTCCCTCTCTCTCTCCCTCTCTCTCTCCCCCCTCTCTCTTTCTCTCTCTCTCTCTCTCTCTCTCCTATCTCCCTCTCCCCCCCTCTCTCTCTCTCCCTCTCCCCCCCTCTCTCTCTCCCCTCTCTCTCCCCCCTCTCTCTCTCTCTCCTCTCTCTCCCCCCTCTCTCTTTTCTCCCTCTCTCTCCCCCCTCTCTCTTTCTCCCTATCTCTCCCCCCTCTCTGTCTGTCTGTTTCTGAGACAGGATAGTGTTTACTAGCCAGTGTTTCTTGATGGATCTTTAGGATCTTTTAGGATGCTAGTATTTATTTTCTTCTTCTTGGTCCATAGTACTCTGAGAATTTTTCTATAACATTTCAGCTCAAAAGCCCCTGTTTTCTTCCTTAATGACTGCTCGCTGTCACCATTATTAAGACATCAAGCATATGAGTGCAAAGAGACAAATTATTAATAGCATATTCATTCCAACATTAAACTACCAGTGCCAAACATGGACTCTTATCTAACGTCCATATACGCAAAATCTCCACCTGTGAGATGAGATGCCTGAGAAAAGCAGCCAAACTAACCATCCGAGATTGAATGAATAATGACACTTTCAGACAAATTGTGGGAACGACAAGATTCATCGAGAAACAGCAGATCAAGTGGTTTGGCCATCTGGTTAGAATGCAGCAAGATCAAATACCATCACAAGCACTACATCTCAGTAGCTCAGCTACAAGAGCAAGAGGGCGGCCATGGAAAAATATGGATCGACAACATTAATGCCTTCACAGCATGACAAAAGCCAGTGGCAGCCAGCGTCACTGGATCACTAATTATTCCTCCCCACGACGCTTAATGGCAGAAGTGGTTTATGATGATGATTTTTAAACCTTTAGGCAGGTCTGCCAGTCTGCGTGGGATGTGGGATATTATTAAATAGACTGCACCTAAAGATGTAGAGTAGTGGGTAATTTATGTAATTCCGTCCGTGATAATTTACTGAATTTATTAGATAACAAAGATGCACATTAGACACTATTCAGTGGATTTAAGTATATAAGGAGTGTTCATTAAAAGCCCATTCATACTGCACTGGTTGTATTTTCATATGTTGAATATCATTATGTCATAGTCTGACCAATAAATAAAAGAGCACCTACTTATCCCATGATGCATAGATTCTGTTTTTTACCATTGAGAGAATGGCTGTGTCGATTCAAAATCCATCTAAAGAAGCTCAGAGAGTGATGATTCAGTTTCTTTCGTTTGAAGGAGTTGACTAGTGGATATTCATACAGTAACAAATATGTGTCGAAGACAACAGTGGCAGACTTTGCACAAATGTTTCAGCTACGATGTGAGTTCACGACAGATCCTTTTATGCTATCAGAGACTACAGGAGAGAGGTGGTTAGACCATTCTTGCTAACTCTACCATATAGCCATCTGGGTATACCTATTGTAAAATTGTTGTACAAGCACACGTATGTTGCTTAGGTCTTATGAACATGCTTCGTAAGGCCAGGTGCTGGGTTTGATCCCAGCCGCAGGGGATTTGATAGACCATCTTGCATGGTTTTCAACAGTAGTATCAAGAGCCGCCCAATAAGAAAGTAATGGCAAACTACTGAACATAAATATGCCTAGAAAAACTACAACAGCCAAAAAAAAATTACTGTGGTTGGCTCTGAAATGTCATATAAAAGACACACAGCTAACTAGAAGATGAATTTTGTTGTTTATTTTGCCATTTCTTGGAGCTAATTGTATACTTTTCAATCCTGACTACTAAATTGAAGGGCTACAGAACGGGCTATGCATACAGAATGCCAGTGGTGAAACAAGAAAAGCTAGACAAATCAAACAGTGAAGTTGAAATTCCACCTGCATCCAGTTCTTTCACATATATTTTTGACGGAGACTACCTGCACTCTAAATACATGTAAGTCACTTTGTGTTTTGTAGTTACTCTGCACTCTAAATACATGTAAGTCACTTTGTGTTTTGTTGTTACTCTGTACTCTAAATACATGTAAGTCACTTTGTGTTTTGTTGTTCTCTGTACTCTAAATACATGTAAGTAGCTTTGTGTGCTGTTGTTACTCTGTACTCTAAATATATGTAAGTCACTTTGTGTTTTGTTGTTACTCTGCACTCTAAATATATGTAAGTCACTTTGTGTTTTGTTGTTACTCTCTAATCTGTCGTCATTAATTGAGACCCATCATATGTTGCCTCAGATTTATTTTTACGATATTGTGACACTGACTGGATAAATTTTTTGTTTGGATTGCTATCTTTTCAGAAGATACAAACAAGTAATCTACCACTGTGATTTATGTTGCATGTGCACACATATGCTTGTTAATCATATCTTTTAGTATAAAGAATGCATAAATTTTATTTCTAAAGGGTTAATAATTGTGTACACAAGTGCTTCTGATGTCCATTTTCTTATGTTAATTTATTAGAAACAGACTTAAGCTAACCATTCCGTCTACATGTAATGCCTCTAGCACAACATAACAGACGAACATCAGTACTTTAAATCAGCATCCATTTGACGCAGACAGAAGGTTTACTCACCACATATTGGAGGATTGCACAGTATACCAGGGCTAATGAAAAAGCATATGATCAGGGGTTCTGTTTAGGATGTATGATGCTCACATGCAGTCATTTATTTTACACTCCCCTTTCCTTCAGCTTAACTTCAGCTTCGATATTGGTTTATAGACTTCTAACAAACAATAAGTTGCGGCAGTACTTACTTCGGTTGTAGACTGTATAAAAGTATTTTAACTTAACTGAATCTCATCATCATCAAGTGCCTTGTCAACTGGTGTGGGCAATCATGCCTCTCCATAATCTGAGATCCGCAGCTGCGTGTATCAGTGCTTGTGTTGACACCCCAATGTACCATTACAAAAGGCTGTCAAAAATCTTCTCGTGCTGTCTTCCTCTTCCTCTTTCCACAAATCTTGCCTTAACTGAATACACGACAGAAAACAAACATGTGCATGTTTTAGTCCTGATAGAGCAGTGATGCGGAATACAAGGTACACAATTTTATAATTACAAAAGTAATTAAGATATTGAAATGTGACTATATTTTGCTGCTTTGGGAATTTAGCTGCCCCTCAAATGTTGCCACCCTGTGCGGATGCAAATGTTGCACATAGCCTAATTACATATGGCCCTGCACATGGCAGACACCTAAAACAGGACAATATGAAGGATGTGCAGCAAACCGCTGTTTCCTTCTTCTTCTCTTCTTTGTGTTCACCAGCTGCAAACTCCAGCAGAAAGTTTAGTCTTGTTCCAGAACCTGAATGTTGCGTGTACATCCATTTGACAGTTCTGACTTCAAAGGAAACTCCCAATTAGTTGACTTATGACAAGCTTTTGAGTAAGCAGTGGGTCTATTCTTGTTTTCCCTACAATGGGGCCCCGAAATCCACACAGGGAAAACTGCAGTTTGTTGATAGCATTCACGGGGACAATTGTGAAATGTGTAAAGAACCAAGCTGGGATAGTGTCTGAATGATACAAAATTGCTGTGGTGATGTTTCTTGCAGACTCTTGAAATATTACACTGATTTATTCTGAGATCTCGGCAGCGATGTTAAGCAAACAAGCGCAGTTACTGAACAGAAGTTTATTTTCCTGTTTGTATGTTATGTGTGTGTGTGTGAATTTACCAGATATTTTGTTATGAGCCAAAATAAAATAATTTTAATCTGTTGTTTTAAAACCAGTATTCAATGGGAGGGGAGATAATTAATTTTTTTTGTTTTGTTTTTTAATACTGAGACATTTCTATATGAAAATTAATTTAGATGTGGTCTGGAAGTAGTAAAAAACAGTGAAGAAAAATATGGTTAAGCACATTTCTGAAATAAAACTCCTACATGCCATATTTTGTGAAGCAAATTTTATTTTTTTGTATTGTCTGCCTTCTTTAATCTACAATTTGTTCTGCACATTATGACAGAAGTCATCTCCTTGTGGCTTGAAATTGTTTGTTATATTTGAAGCCCCACCCTTGCAGCTGTGGTGGTCCCCAATGTAACCTGATAGTTGACCTGGTGCTCATCGTGTGTGATGGAAGAGGAAGAGGAGGGAGGGTGGGGGCAAAAATAACATTTATACACAGAAGTTGGCTTTATTTAATGATTGTTTCACAGAGATGTTGTATTGCAAGGAAAGTAATTGCATATAGTGTTGGT